CCCATCTTCATAGTATGGGTGAATTTCCGCTACGTGCGGGGTGCCCAGGTCCCCAGATGTCTCAAATCCTGTGCCTCACCCAGTCTGGACTGAGGGATGGCTTTGATCCAATGTGGCTCACCAGGGGTATCCAGTTGCCCTCGTGCCTTTTCAGTGCCTTTCAGCTGTCCATGTTCAGGTGGGTGGGCATCGCCAACATGGTGGCCTGGCGCAAGATCAGCGCCGAACTGCCTATCACCCACTTCACGGCCCTTGGGGAGGACACCATCTCCTTTTGCCGAGGTGGGGCACCGGGGCACGCTGACGCAGCTATATACCGGATCACCGGTGATCAAGGACTTGGCCCCTAAAGAGGACGTTTTTCTGCGCCTTTTGGAGGGCGGAGAAGACGAGACACTTCATGACATGTTGCTCGTTGAGCAGTACTTGGCCTTTTTGAGCCAGCCCGCAGAGAAAGGGCCTACGATCAAACATGAGGGTGCAGAAAAAGATGGGATGTGGGATGTCGAACATGTTTTCGGATGATCCACGCATGTCCTTGCTGTTCAAACTTCATGTTTCTTCTTAAGTTCCCAGTTCCCATCACTGGTTCCTTCTTCCACCTTCCACCAGGGACCCTTCGGACGCTCACCTCGAAAAACCACCACGCCGTGGAACCCACGCCGTTTCGCTCAGCGAAGAGAAGCTCTTGCCGCGGCCAGGTGAAGTGGCCTGTGTGGCCTTCAATCGGCAGGAGTCGGACGACTGGGACGTGGAATTGACCTTCCCTTTAGCACCAGGAGCAGCACCGCACGAACGAGACGAGAAGGTCCGAGCACTGAAGAACCACACTCGGTAGTAGTAAGAGACCATGACGGCTGCCATTTTTTGTTCAGACGGCTGCTATTCCTTATGATTTGGTAGTAGTAAGCACTGTACGGTGGAAACAAATAATGAGCAACCTCCAAGCCTGCTGGTGGCGGCATCTGACACCCGAAATAGCCGGAAGCACCGGCATACTGGCACATGCGTGAGGAGAATATTGCGACGTGGCCAAGTCCGATGCTATTGGTTGCCCCTTGGTGAAGGCCCATTCGTTGCGACTTCGCATGGTGGTAGGGGCGAAAATATGTTTGCGCTGCAATTGGCGAAGTGAAGACACGTAGAATTTCAGTGAGGCGGGCGGACCTGGAAGAAGTTGGCATACAGTAGATCAGATCAGTGAAGAATCTACTGGTTTTCCTAGGACGTTTTCAGTTTAGGATCAGTGATGGGGATACACCCTTCTTGGGCTTTTTGAGTGTGGATTCATGTGGGTTCCACAGAATTCATCACTCAACTGAGAACCGAGCTTTGTGAGACATTTGAACCTTACGTTCCTCAGAAATCCTTTTGACTCCTAGAGTTTAGGAGCGCAGTGAAACCAAGCCCAGTGAAACCAAGCTCCACCAGCTCCTGCTTCTCAGCCTTGGGGCATCTCTCTCAAGGCCCTACCGTCAGTCAGGGGACAAGTGTTATCCGAGAACACAACCAGGTGAAACGGAGCCGAACGGACCTTTCTGGTTAAACACTGAGGTACCTGGGATGCCACTCAACACCGGTACCTCTTAAGTTACATGACGTCCGAACTTGAAGGAACTTGGACCTTCTCCTTCACTTTTTCCAAGTGACACATCAGACCTAGGACCTAGTACACTCTGGAAAAACATGCCATGGAAACCTGGAAACCACTGACTGGGTTGCATCATAGGAAAACATTGTCTTCCAGTCTGTTCCAATGCATGTCCATGCCATCAGGTTCGGGTCTGCAACCACCGAGCTGCACATATACCGCCCCTCCTGTCTCGACCCCACGCGCACGCCACGCGTCGCGCGCGCGTCGGCGTGGCCAGGTGGGCTCCGATGGACGGACGGCCTTGAAGGTCCCGTCGCAGGGCTTCGTGGCGCTCCACGTGGGGGCGCGGAAGAAGGCGGCCAGGGGCCGGGGGGGGCGCCGAAGAGGAAGTGAAGAGGGGTGGTTGAACCCCAAAATGATGGGAAAGTGCATCTCCCCTCCTTGGAACAGTCTTGATATGTCTTGATAATAAGCGTTTTGACCTAATTACTAGTAGTATTACTAGTATTTACTGGTGGTCCAAAGTGGCTCATTCGACCTACTGTATACTTGCTGGTGGTCCAACGGCCGTAACGGTGAGGGCATGGTTGACACCTCGGTGGAAAGTTCAGTGAAGATGGCGGGAGAGAGAGGGAGAGAGGGAGAAGTTTATGGTGGTTTCAGCAGCAGGTAGTGAATGGTAATTATATAATAGATGGATGACAGGTGACCCATAGGGTCGTGGCTTTTTGCTTCACACTGTCGTTCTTGCTTTTGTCACAAGTTATTGGAGGAGGATGTAGTTGAGGAATTCTTTCTGCTCAGGAGTTTTAGATGAGACCTCATCTACAGTATGTGTCAGGATACGCCCCAACAAGTACCCCATACATATGCCTACATCGACCCCCCTCCTGAGGCACCCCATGGCGATCGCCCCGCCCCTGGCACCGCCCAGGAGCCCGTCGCCGACAGCGACTCCACGCTCGGCGAGGCGGAAGAAAACGACCACGCCGAGCCGTTCAGAGCGGCCGGGGAGGTGTTTCAAGACTTGCTATATCGTCAAATGAGGTGCTTGGCGCATCAAATGGTTGTTATCCCAAAAAACGGTGGGGTGATGAAGTGGGGCTCATGACCCAGGACATATCACCCAGATACAAGCATGTGCTTCATGCAAAAGCGGGGTGATGCGTATCACCGTGTTTTTTGAGGGATGGAGACCTCAGAAGACCCTCAGCATCCGCCAACCTTGGTAAACAGTTCTGGTAAGGTCTGGCGCGTGGCTTTGGTTCCTCCTGCAAGTCACGCGGATCACAAAAAATAAACAAACATGAAGCAAAACCACATTACAAATCTTGGTGTGCTGTGTGTTGTGTGTTTGTCTCAGTCTGTTTGACTCGGCTCCGCAGCGGCAAGAAGCGGAACTTCGGAACTGGAGGAGCCACCTCCACCAGAACTGGTGTTTCTGTTGTTGACGTCGTTTAGCTGTCCTCGCCACAATCAGAACTGGGGATTGGTCCAAACCTGGAGCCCTGGCCTGGTCGTCCACCCTGTAAGTAGCTGCTTGACCTTCCAAGTAGGCCAAGTCTTCTGGCTTTGACCGTTCCATACCCAGACACGACACATGGGACTGCCATATATGCCGAGAAACGGCCAGGGGTGGTGCCAGAGGGGTCAATGGGGCGGCAGTCCTATGGCAGTCCCGTGGAGTGTTTGGGATATAGTGAGAGGATCTTTGATACCCAAGCAGGCATGTATCTCTTTGGAGTTGATATATGGGGAGTTGATACCCAAGCAGGCATGTAACTCTGCATGTGAGAAACTCTATTAGGAGTTGATCTCTTTGTATCTCTCAAGCATCGGATGTCTATCTCTCAAGTATTGTTTGGCAAAAGTCACATGCACAATATGGACCTGAAACGTGCCAACACATGCCAACCAACGATCCACATATTTGACATAACATGTTCCTTCCTCTAAAAAGTGCTCATGAGCTGTTCAGGGGATTTTGTCACCCTAGGACCGCCGGTCTTTCAGAGATTGAACGTATATTCTTCCGTGTTGCCCGGCCGTGAGACTTGGCCCATGTTCACAGAATTGAAGGGTTCACCGCGGTTCAGCACTGGTCAGCAACCTTAACTTTATATACTGTACTAGATGTGGGTGTGCATTTCAAGAGGGGACCCCCACGCACTGGGTTTGAGTCAATGCTCCTTTTTTCCAGGGGGCCTTTGGGAGGTCTCCGTATTTTTAGATACACTGATACAGACCCATGTCAAAGCCTGCCAGGTCCAGCTTTTGAGGAGAAGCTCTGGGAAGGGCTCCTTTACCATCAGCGTCGCTTGGGAGCAAGCTACAATAGGAGGGCCAATATAACTCATGCAGTTGTGAGTCAGGTGATGCCACAAGAGAATACAATTGAGCAGAAGATAGACAGACAGAACCCCTGGAAGACAATTTTCCACTACACACATGCCGGTGCACATGAAATGGCAAAGACAGGTGCAGCAGTAAAAAGGCTTGGCATTTGCATGAGGCCTCCCTCTACCTCTAGGTTCCCTGACCTTGTCCACCTGGCCTGATGTGGACTCCCTAGTCTCGTGGTTTTCCTTCACCCTCCGAGCAATCAGTTGATTAAAGTTTGAATCGCTGCTCTAGGTTGCATATCGGAACACAACGATGGCATGCTTTCCAGCATGCCACAACACCATGCGAAGCACACGGAAGAGCGTCCTGAAGCGAACCGGCCCCCCCGGTTGGTGGGAGAAAAGAACTGGATTATATAGGATGCCCGCAATGGAAGACACCCATGTCATCCCATGTCCACATGGTGCTTTCAACTTGGGGTGCTTGTTAGTCCAGACACCATCAGACCACACCATCAGATGGGTCGTCTTCAGGCTTTGGGCGTGGATGCGTGAGCCGGGCGTGTTTCACAGATCTTTTGAACCCAGTGAGTAGGAGCCACCTTCGGCCGGCCGGCCGCTGATATGGATGGTCGAATCAGTCAGCTTTGCCTTTAGGACCGGACCTCACTATACTCCTTAGAGTGGGCACTCACTGGGCACCAAGAGCCACAAGAAGTCAGATGCGAAAAAGACTCGCCTGCAGCGCCTGCAGCCCATGGCCAGATGGATATGCTAGCTGCACGGGTAATATACCTGTCCTTTGGCTGTGAAAGCTCCTTTTCTTCACCTCGACGACTCGACAACTTTGTCGCTCAGATTCCTAAGAACTCAATGATCGATCCATTCCTTCTGCCGTTTGCAGGAGCAGTTCGGTGTGTATGTATCTCCAACTATAACCACATAGAGAATTACAGGACTGAGTTGATCAGTCATTTACAAAATCTTGCAGTACAACTCTTCTGCAGGAATTCGCCACCGTGCCGTAAACCGATCGGCCCTTGGTTCATTTCGCATTTCTTCAGGAACGATCGGCCCTTGGTGCTGGCGGCCCTGCGCTGCGGCGGTCACCAGGTCCTGTGCCATGCCTCCGAGGAGTTGCCCCTCGGCCTCCGCAGGAGTGGTTGGCTCGCAGGCAGCGTGTGTGTGACAGGCTCCACTTCAGTTCAAAGGGTCGTGTTCCCAAAAAGTGGAGGGTCATATCCACCGGGATGTTCACCAGTGAATTACGATGAACGAGGTCCTGAGGTAGTCCTGATATGGTGACATGCTGTTTTTGGACTTTGAGTCGTCAAATGTGGGAATGAGCGCGTTCTTCGTTTAAAAAAAAAGAACACCTGCAATGACGCAGCACTGTACCAACTGATATGGCATGCGCAACGACCTTTGCGAGCAGGTTGTTCTGGGTGTTCCAGAGTGGTCAATGATTCCACAGTGCCCAGCCGCCATGTGCTGGGCAGATTGGGAGTTTGAAGCCGCACCATTCAGATCCATTCAGGCAACAACGGGGTGTTTGTTGCATGTGGGAAGCTCAGCTGGATGCCGTTTGAATTGGAACATGAACACCTACACAGGGTCGCTGAGTGTACACCCCCGGTATGCATTGTGAGGATAGGCCAGTGGGTCAAATAACACTCAAGATGCTGGCATTCCTGTGCAAACAATGATCAATACGTTTACTTTCTCCCGGCGAAGTTTTTTCGGCTAGGAGCCTTATTGTATAGGTTCTATCGTGTTTGTCAATTTCCTACTTTTGGTGGTTGAGGGGGGTCAGACTATGCGCTGGTACAACGATGCTATGCTCCAGCAATTATTTTTCACGTGGAAGGGGCTCTGGTCTTCTGCCAGCCCTTATTCCCCTGCGCAAGTGACAGGTAGCTCCAAGTGTGACCAGTATATTGTGCATAAGCACGGGCTCTCTAAAGTGCGAGGGTGACCCACAAGGCATCGAGGGCCGAGGGCGAAAGCCTTTTTTGGCTTACAATGCTTTTACGTGGGCCATGGCAAAAGTGCTGGCGATCTTGTGTTGTCCTGACTTCGGCCTCGCTGAGGCAAGATGAGCTGCGAGCAGAAGAGAAAAGAGCCGAAAGAAGGGCCATGTAAGACCCTCCAACCACACCATAAAAGTAGGAGAGGGTGGATTCTGTTGCCTGGCTTCTGCCACCAGCATTAAAAGGATTTGAAGGCCATTGCAACCACTGCAAAGCGGTTCTCGGCTTCGACTTGGCCCGCTAGAGGTGTGTCATGAAGGGGGGTTTATATACCCTAAGGTTTTGGGGATCCAGTCGTACCTTCTCAGAAGGTGATTGGAGACACTATTATGTAGGTTTGGAGGGTCCAAGTACCTTCTGAGGTGGTCGGTCATGCCGACTTCGACCCGTCCGCACTGCTGTGGCCACTGCCTGCTGTGATACTTTTGCTTTGCTAGCTTTGCACTTCCACAGCTGGAGACAGGGTCTCAGCAGATGTCAGGGAAACATGCATAGTAGGCCCTGAAATGTCCGGAAGCATGTTGGAAATATTGGCACAGTTCCATGCGAGAGACGCACACGTCAATCGCAGTGGGTGGGCAGTGAGCAGCTGGCGCTTCCGAGGTCCTAAACAGAAATTGATACTGTCCCAATCACTTACCCTATGGATCCACATACCTTCTCAGAAGCTAATTGGACCCTCCAAGCCTACATAAATAGTCTCCAATCACCTTCTCACAAGATATGTGGATCCATAGGGTTAGAGAAACAGTCCAACATCGTTTGTATTTTGCGATGTCGGGGGTCTAAGCCGTCCTCAGCTTGGGGGTCTAAAGTCCAAAGAGTTGGAGGATCGTCGGGGACAGGGGATGTCCAGGACGCTTTGACGAGACGTTCATGTATGAATGGGCCCAAGCATTTGTGGCCCAAGCAGCTTTGAGCAGTGACAGCTTTCGCACGCGCAGCCGTTGTTTTACTTCATGGATGATGCAAGAGTTGCCGAGATTGAGAAGCACTTTGTGCGAGGTAGCACGCATCACCGTACCTGGCGAAATGGAGATTGGGTCACTTGCAAGTTGCAAGGACTTTGCTCGGTGGAGGGTTTGTTTGTTTGGGTGGAAGTCTTCCAGATGTTTGGTCAGTTAATGAGGGACACCCCACATACAAAGTAGTCAGTAGACGACTATTTGATCACAAAGCCATCAGCCTTTTGCAGGGATGATTCTTTCTTCACTTCCACCGGCCCCTTTGATCAAAAAGCCCGCATGGTTCTTCCTGGCTTTGTGACATGTGCCTTTTTCTCAGGAGCAGGTGCTGGCAGGTGTTGGATTCAACATGCGATTCAGCTGGCGGTGTCAAACAAGAACATCAGTATGTTAGAGACCCTAGGGCTCCAAGTACCTCCTCAGAGGGCATTTGGGCCCTCCAAACCCACCTAACCCACCACAAACACCCTCTCGACTGGAGCCTTAGGGAGATAGGCCTTTGCTTGCTGGTCCCCATCATCATCCACTGGGCCCAGGGTGCTGGGGACCCTATGGATCCACATACCTTCTCAGAAGCTAGGCTTGGACCCTCCAAGCCTACATAAATAGTCTCCGTCCTCACCTTCTCAGGTTCGGTATGTGGATCCATAGGGGGAGATACCCTGGTCCTTGTGACCGTGCTGTGGTCCTTTTCGGCACCTCAGGTGATCGTCTCCGAGGTCCACGGGCCCGGCCACTTGGTGCTTGGAGGTGGTCATAGTGTTTTTGCTTGGAGATCCCTACCCCCCTGAAAAATGACATTGGAGGGGGGCGAGACCCTTGAAATGTCCATTTTCCGGTGTCATTGCTGGCTGTGTGATGGAAAAAGGATGGCTGGGATGGAGGACTGTGACTTGTTGTTCTTGGCGTTGTGCCATTAAGACAGTTTCAGCGATTCCGAAAACCTCACAGCATGTTTGTTTCATTGGGCGCCCGCACATAGTTTGATGGTCACGGTTGCGACCACAAGATGAGCTCGCCAAAAGGGCACTTCATGGTTGGTATCTAGATGCCTCATAGAGGTGCTTTGTATTTTGGCACCAACAATCACGGCACCCTTGGGTTTCTGCCAGTGTATACGAGTCTCTCTTCAATGCCATCTCTCTCTCTCTCTCTCTCTCTCGTACCAGTCTAACAGATGTTACCAGTAAGAAGGGGGGTGTATCCACACCAAACACTTCAGGAACCACAACAACAAAGGGTGTTCCCTGACAGGGGATGATGCTTCCCGCCTTAATAAATAGATAAATCAATATATATATATCTTGACGTCCACCGGTGACCGCAGGGAACTTCGCCTCAAGGAAAAGAAGCGCCCGTTTGTTGCCCTCAGGGGAGGGCAGGATCTCCGCAATTGGTAGCGGAGCCCGGATTTTTTCCGGGCTCCCGCGCCATGGCGTGATCCTCAGGCGAGGATCTTCACCCGTGACATGGCAGCTTCCGCGAGTGCCTCTTCGTCGGAAGCTGCAGCCGTGCGCACTTTCTCAGGAGAGAATGAGGATGGCCGGGAATACAAACGCTGGAAAACATGGGTCAAGAACAAGCTTTTGACACTAGATAAGCTACCAGAGTCATCGAGGGGAGCATACATCTACACCCTGTTACATGGCAAGGCCCTATAGAGGCCGTTGAGCATTTAGAACCTGATCAGTACCAGAAGAAAGATGGTGATCAGGTATTGTGGACATTGTTGGACAAGCGTTTTCCTCAGCTGGAAGTCGTCGACGAACTCGGAGAAATATTAGGTCAGGTGTTTGGCCTTCGTTCATTGGAAGGCGAAAGCATGAAGCAGTGGACAGCTCGAGCCTCTGAACTGTTTGACAAATGTCATCGAAAGACTGGAGTGCAATTCCCTGACGAAGCCAGGGGGTGGTTACTGCTGCATCGAGCAGGCTTGTCAGAAGAGCAGAAGGCTGTTGTCATTGCCAGAGCTCGTGGAGATCTCAAAAGAGAATCTGTCGCTGCCGCCTTGAGATCATGCTATCCAGATCTGATCATCAGCAAACGGCGAACAGCCGTGGCCCTAGCTGAAGAGTTGGAAGAGGACGCTCCTGGGACACAGGAGCACTGGGAAGAAGAGTTCTCAGATGTTGAGCATTTGCTGGAAGAACACCAGGCTTCCGACTGGGTGGCTGATGTTGACACCTATACCAGGAGTCCGAGGTCGCTGAGGTGCTTGCCGCGTCTTGGAAAGAGAGACGACAGGAGTTGAACCGACTTCAGAAGACTCGACAGTTCCAGAAATCTAAGGACGTCAAGCGTGCTTTCAGAGTTGAAGTCGAAGAGATGAAACGTCATACGACATGCAACAAGTGTGGCCGTCGAGGTCACTGGGCTCGTGAGTGCCGCTCCAAAGATGTCAAGAAGGGCCAAGGCAAAGGAGGTGACAAGGGTGTCTCTTCATCAGGTCCATCTGCTTCTGGAGCAGCCATCGTGGAAGAGCTGGACTTTGTGGCCTCCGTGATGACCACTCCCACGTTGTTGGACAGAGTCCGTTCTCGGTTTGTGCAGGCTTGCTCAAAGCCAGATCTTGCCCCCCATTGACTCAGGAACTGAAGTGTTGCTCGTGTCTTCACCAGGCATGGGCGTGATCGATTCCGGTTGTGGTCGAACAATCTTTGGACTTTCCACCCTCCGCAGTTTTGAATCCATGTGGAAACAGCTTGGTTGGTCCATTCCCCCTTGGCTGGAAGAAGTTCATCAGTTCAAATTCGGAAATGGCAACATTGAGACATCACGTCAGTCAGTGCAAATGCCGGTGACCCTGGCAAACAAGCGAGGGGTCGTGAAGGCTGCTGTGATTCAGGGAGACGCGCCTCTCTTGTTGAGTCGCTCTGCATTGAAAGCCTTGGGTGCGGTGTTAGATTTTCAACGAGATGAGTTGAATGTTTTTTGCAAGAGCATCCCGCTGAAGACTAATGCAGCTGGTCAGTATGTGATCCCGTTGGTCGCTCCTTTGCTTTGACCAAAGAGACGACCGCAGCCGTGTTCACTGAGGTTATGGCTCTAGAGACCGCACCAGACTTAGACTCACCGCCGGTCGAGCTAGTGTCGAAGGACGATCAGCTCGCACCTTCCGATGCCAGTGAAGCTGCTTCCATCAATGTTTGGACGCAGGAGCATTGTGATGTCGTTGCCACTCCCTGGCTTTCCAAGTCCGGGCCGAAGTGGAAGCAAGTGATTCGTAGGCGGGTCTTTCATGGGGAAACCAACCAAGTCTTAGATGATACCAAGATACATCCTGGAACGCCTCAACATAAGACCATTGTTCGATTGTTCAATCGTGTGCCGTCCGTCCGTGTCGAGTTTTCGTTCGTTGGGACTCCCCCCCACTGAAGAGAGTCAGTGGCAGCCGTCGGCACATCAAGCACGACAATTGAACTCACAAATCAAGACATGTTTGGCGGTTCATCAGGTTCATCCCAGGGACAAATGCTTGGTCATGGAAGTGTTCTCGCCACCTCGTTTTTCTCTCGTCGCCGATAAAAAGGGATTTCGAGCTCGATCTTATGATTTGCAGAATGGTTTCGATCTCCGCACCAGCGCCGACAGGAGGAAGGTGGAAAACGACCTTCTCAATGATCCGCCATCCCTGCTAGTGCTATGCCCTCCTTGCACAGATGAAGGAGGCTGGTTTCATCTCAATAGTAAGAAGTGGGATGTATGGGAGGTTCTTCGACGTAAGGCCATAAGTAGGAGCTTCATTAGATGGTGTTGTAAGCTCTTCCGACTTGGAGTCCAACTTGGTTGCCGAGTTGTCTTCGAACATCCCACCGGAGCTAAGACATGGACCTATACGGAAGTGCAGTCGTTGTGCCGCCGATACGAAACAGTCAAACTCCACATGTGCAGGTATGGCATGAAGCTTCCACATAGTGAGAGACTGATCCGCAAGAGCACCCGATTGCTCGTATCACACGCTGACATGCAGTGTCTTGGCCTGACATGCCCACACACAGGTGAACACGAGTGTCATGATGTTATCGCCGGTGGTGCATCCGGGGTCCCAAGCATCAGCACCTTTGCAGGAGCGTATCCCCCTCAGTTTGTAGAGGCAGTCTTGTCCACTGTAGAACAATACCAGGGTCATTCGCCACAGTCCAAAATTCACCCATGTTCTTGTGTTGAGCATGTTGGACCGGTAGAGATTCTAGAAGATCAATGCCCTGAAACCATGTGGTCTGAAGTGCTGGCAGTAGGTCAGGTCGAGGCCAAATCTGATCGAGAGCTGATTCCTGTGCTTGATAAGCTCCATCGTAATTTAGGTCATCCACCGAATCATGATCTCATCCGCATTTTGCGTCATGGACAAGCCAGTGAGCAAGCTCTCAAACTAGCCAAAGAGTTTTCGTGTGAGTTTTGCAAGAGTCAACTCAAGCCGAAAGTGCCTCTACCGGCCCAGACCGGCCGCGTGACCGCCTTCAATCAGCAGATTGGACTGGATGTCAAGCATCTAAAAGGGTGGCTGCCAAACCAAAAGATCAAAGCACTCAATATAGTTGACACAGCGAGCAGTTTTCAACGTATGATCCCGTTCTTCTAGACCGAGACTGCCACAGTGCTTCGACGTCTGTTCACCGAGCACTGGAGTGCATGGGCCGGAAGTCCAACCGAGATAGTGCTCGATCCAGCCAAAACCAATCTTGGGGATCCAATGGTGGTTCCAGCTGAGCTTGAAGGCACTGAAATTCGTACGATAGCAGCCGGAGCGCATTGGCAACTTGGCAAGTGTGAGACACATGGGGGATGGTTCAATCGATTGTTAGAGAAGCTAATCGATGAGTTCTCACCTAGTACCAAAGAAGAGTGGTTAGAATGTGTTACTCATGCACATGTCAAAAACCAACATATCCAGGTACATGGGTACTCGCCTTACCAATTTGTGTTTGGAAGAAATACTCATATCCCCACGGACTTGCTGAGTGAGCCCCTCATGATCGTGCCGGCCACCGCTTCACTTTCAGATGAAGCCATTGCCCGAACGCAAGCCATGCGTACGTCAGCAAGAGCAGCATTGGTACAGATGCAGGACGATAAAGCCATGCGTGTTGCCTTGCTCGCCCGTCCAAGAACTGCCCATCAGTTTACAGCAGGAGACCTTGTAGCCTACTGGAGAAACCAAAAATGGATTCAAGGGCAGCTCCAACAAGGGGGGCAATGGTATGGGGTGGCAATTGTGTTAGGACATGTGGGCAGGAACTTAGTGCTGCTGCATCGCCGACAGGTGATTCGCTGTGCTCCTGAACAGGTCAGGCCAGCTACCAATGAGGAAAAGTGTCTGTTGGCGTCTCCCCAAGTAGAGTTGTTAGGGATCAAAGACATGCTAGAACAAGGCAACCTTCGTAGTAAGCAGTACATCGATCTTCTTCCACAGTCATATCCTCCACAAGAGGGTCCCACAGAACCCCCAGGGTCTGCTGAATCTCCCGAACAAGTAGGTAAGCCCGAAGAAAGCCATCCACCTGCAGTTCTAGTTGAACAAGCTGAATCATCGAGTCGTGGATCTGGGTCAGAGTCCGTGCCGCCCGTTCCCTCACCTCCGGAGGTGGAAACCCGGCCAGAGTCTGCAGAGAGTGCCGATTCGACCGATTCTAGACCTGCAGTCCCTGCCGAGTCGACCTATGGTCCCGTGCGACGCCGAGTGGGTCACAAGGATGGCCCTATGGCGCTTTGGAGACCTCCTGCGTTGAGACAAGAAGACTTCGTAGAGATAATGAAAGAGGTGGTCCCACAACTTGTTGAGGACGCATGCATGAATCAGAACAAACGACCTGCATCACCACATGCCGAAGAATCAGCAGCTCATCGTCCGGAGGCCTCTGAAGCGCTGAGTGTGCAGGATGTTTCCGACCTAGAGTCTGCCTTCAATGAGTCCTGGGAATGTCTCATGAGTGAATATATCAAGAAGAAAATGTCTAAGGAATTGCATCATAGCAATAATCCCCCAGAGGTGCAGACCGAGGTCCAGCTAGGAAAGAAAGTTGAATGGGACACGATTTGTTCGAAACCTCATGCAGTTAAAATTCATTATGGAAAGGAGGCCAAGCGAATAGAAAAGGATCACCCTGACCGTTTTATCGGGAGCCGTTTCGTGTTGACTCGCAAACCACTCGAGGAGGGCTTAGAAGTTGATCCCCAAGACGTGTCCACGTTCACTGTCAAAGGCCGATGGTGCCTTCAGGGGCACCTGGATCCGGATTTGTCTGCCAAGGCCGAAAAGGGAATGCTCAAATCCCCTACCTTAAGTCAACTTGGACGTATGTGCCTCATGCAAACCATTTCGTCCAATCAGTGGGATTTACAGCTAGGAGATATTAAAGGAGCATTTCTAGAGGCAGGTCCTCTCGACCAAGCCTTTCGACCGTTGTTCGCCAGACAGCCACCTGGGGGCATCCCAGGAGTTCCGGCAGACGCCGAGATTGAAGTCCTTGGAAACGTGTACGGACAGAACGACGCTCCCGCAGCATGGTTCAGAGAATTCAGCACGTTCGTTAAGGACCTCAATTGGCAGCAAAGTGTTCTCGATCCTTGCTTGTTTACCCTCAGGAACTGTGACGGTTCTCTCGCTGGGGTGATGGGAGTGCATTGTGGACGACACCGCAGTTGGGGGATGGGGACCACTGTTCAATGAAAGCATCACCAAACTCAAGAACAGGTTTCCATATCGTAAATGGAGAATCAAAAGTGGTGAATTTTGTGGCGCTTGGTATTCTCAGAAACCTGATGGTTCAATTCGTATGGACATGAACAAGTTTGCTGAAAAGATTCGACCCATCAATGTACCAAAGAATGCCAACTCAGAAGATCCCCTAGTGGAGAGTCAAATCAAAGTCTTGAGGGCAGTGAATGGTAGCTTAAACTGGCTGTCATCTCAATCTCGTCCAGACCTGAGTGTTCAGACGAGTCTATCACAGCAGGCTTTTCCAAAGCCAAAGATCGAAGATTTCCGCATGGCTAACCAAGCCATTCGACGAGCCAAACAGCATAGCCAAATAGGTATCACTTTCAAACCCATTGAGCCGAAAAACCTCACTGTTGTTTGTCATAGTGACGCAGCTTTTGCTAATAGGGGACATCATACACAAGCCGGATATATTATTTTGGGGCTCACTGAAACAAAGCTCCAAGATGCTGAAGAAGCTATTTGGTGTCCTGTGGCTTGGCGCAGTTTTAAACTGCAGAGAGCTGTGAGTAGCACCTTGGCTGCCGAAAGTCAGGCGCTTGCTGTGGCCACCGGTACTCTGGAATGGGTACTGCTGATGCTTGCTGAGATTTTTGACGGCCCGCTCACCATAAGACCGTGTAGAGACGTGCTCCAGCGACGAAAACCAATCGTCGTGACAGACTGCAAGAGTCTGTATGACCATCTGCACTCGCCCTCGTCGCCGACTTCGATCGAGGACCGTCGTACAAGTATCGATGTAGTTATCATTAGAGAAAGCTGTAAAGCCATGTCGGCCTTCGTAAGATGGGTACCAACAAATAGAATGCTTGCCGATGGACTCACTAAGAATGATGGTGACCCGATTGATTTGTTGAGAGCTTGTATCAAACGATCCTCATACCAGATCTCACCCGAGGAAACAGTCCTTGAACATCAAGCCCAAGAGAAAGCGTCTAGAAAGAACTTGCAAGGCCTCAAGAAGTCGAGTTCCCCGGAGAGTCAGAGCACTTGAATGGACAAGTGCAATTTTTGCTTGAATTAAGGGGTCTCGGGATCTGTTTGTCTTTCAATGCAGTGGGTTGCACACTGAAGTGTGTTTGCATTGTTGCCTGTAGGTTTGCAAGCCACAGTTGTTTATGTTGTACTCTGCAGCCTTTTTTCTTCCTGAGACGGATCAGGACCAAATCGAAGGTGTGTTCGTGCGTCAGTTTCCTCCTGACCAATATGGCCGGTTCGTCACCGCAGCTTTCATCCACCGCCTTAGAGTTGTTGCACCGTGTTCGTGAAGAAGGTGGCACTTCAGCCCTCTTGAAAGAGCTGGCTTTGGAGCAAGAAGGATTTGAGTTTGTGCATGAAGAGATTGAGCAGGAGCATGGTGCGATGACTGACGCACCAAAGCGTCGGTTGACTGAGGGTCCCATTCCGTCGGAAAGCCCGGCCCTCACTCGCCAGATGCCAATTCCAAAGACATCCGCCAAGGGTGCCCAGAGTCATGGCTATGAGCATCCTCTGCCGGCAGGAGTCACATCAATGGAGATGTGGGGCCGTACGATCATCGACTATGGCAAGCTGGCAAAGAGAGGAATCACCTACGAAGAACTCGCCACCAGTGTTGACTCTGAGCTGCTCAATTACCAGCGATGGTTGCGCAGTCAGAAGGGCCGAGAGAATTTCAGCCCTTTGATGAAGGACTTGATTAACTACCTGCTCCGCTTCCAGGCTGAACATGAAGGCAGTGCAAGCTCCTATCCGGATTCCAGCGTTCCTCGACGCTTGAAGGGCTCCTCATGAGAAGGCATCGGTGACACGAGATGGCTGAAGCAAGAACACGTGAAAGTCGACCACTCCCGAAGACTATAAGCTCGAAAGCAGATATCCAGGTCGATTTTTCTTTAGAGATAGTTATGAGTCTTGACGTCCACCCGTGACCGCAGGGAACTTCGCCTCAAGGAAAAGAAGCGCCCGTTTGTTGCCCTCAGGGGAGGGCAGGATCTCCGCAATATATATATATATATATATTACACCACAAGTCTCTCGCATACCATCTCTCTCTTCACGTCACCAAGGTGAGGACGATCACTTCTCCTATGGTCTTTTCCATGTTCCGACCTGGCAGGGCGGACCGGCCTTGCTGACGGCTCATTGGACCGACTTGAGCCATGTGGGATGCAAAGGGCCCGGCCAAGCGCTCCGCTTCGGCGACAACGACACGGTGCTGAAGGCGCCCGGTTGGGCGTTGCCGGGGGAGTGGGGTTTCTGCGATGCTGGGCAAACAAGGTGATAAGGTGAGAAGTGAGTCAACTGACTTCAGAGGACTTCCTGAAGTTGCAAGGGAAAGAAAGAGAGAGCTGAACAACGGTTTTTTTTTGGAGTATAGGCCTCGGGCAGGGGAGAGTTTCTTCCTCAGGTGGGTATGTACTTATACATATAGAGAGAGAGATAGTAGTAGATAGTAACACATGTCATGCGCAGTCCAGCTGTTTTCTGCTGTGGGTGTGCCAGGGGGTCAGACTGTGTGACGGTGGTTTCTTTGGAGGCCAACTTTCTCGTGGGGCCCTCGTGTGGCACCATGAAACGTTCCAAAGTCGATCGAACAGATTCGAACGGTGAATCCCCTTGGGATGTATTGGAAACGGGAAACCGTCCTCCATTGGAATCTGGATCTTTTAAAGTATGATTTGGGTGCCCCACGTGATATTTCTGTGTTTTATATTGCCACACTTCCGTCAAGGTCGATGGGAATGATTGGAATGATGCTGCTTGGAATGACTGGAGTGCGGTCTATGAAGCACCTCACAGGATGGGGAAGCCGTTGTGAAAAGGATTGCTGAAGCGCAAACTTCAGCACGTTGGGGATGGATGACGATTTTAGCATGACTTAGCCAGGAACCAATACCTGACAAGGTTTGGTTTTGTGATTGTTCTTTTGCGGGTTCCACTCTGACTCACGAACATGAAAGTGAATCTGGTTGCTTGGAAGTTGGAAGACGACTTTCCTTTGCAAACAGGGGGTGAACTCCACTTCCATTTGATGTGTTCTGCGGACCTTACGTGGGGGATGTGGTGTGGTGCGCCATGAGATCCGCAGCGGGGGGGGTATGGACTGCCTATTCTTCCACATGACATGGAGCACAAGAAGGTAGTTGAGTTCCCGAGTCAGACCGATGGCTCCTTAGGGGCGCGAGGTGCCATGTTCCATGGCATGGGCTGGTGGCGGCTGTGAGAGTTGCAAGAAGTTGCTTTTTCTATATGCTAACATCAAAACAGTGAGGCACAGAGCCTCAACGCCGCTCAATGCAATGCCGTGTTCTTCTGGTCCTTTTCCCATGCCATGCCCATGCACAGCCATGAATCGTGTTTGATCCGCCTTACCACCGGAGACTTCCACGGTTATGTTTGTTGAGTATGGCTTATATTATATACGTGTAGACCGTTTAGATTGCTAGTATGGGTGGACAACCTGGACATCTTGCCGGAGTGTTGCATGGAGTTGCCAGTGGTTGGTCCGTAATGGACGTGAGGTTCTGGAAACCACGAAGCTCGAGTCCTTGAATCCAACGGCGAGAGCAGGGTGTTCAGGATGCGTACTTAGCTAAGTAGCGACTTTGGGCGTTTTTAGAGTGAGAGCCCGGCTGGATGTGCCTCAAATGGGGAGTGCACAAACGTATCCAAACTGGATCAAACTGAGAGCTCCCCCAGACTCAGGCCCACTCCAGTCAGACTGGGTCCTTCAAGGCATGCCCAGCTCAGCTGGACCAACCGACCGTGCCATTGCGTGACTGGTGCCCCAAGGGCACTGGTGGCCAAGTGGAAAAGACGAGCGCAGGGATAAGAAGCAGAAGCAGGCGTGATCGTATGCCCTGGTCACTAAACTGGACATTAGTCTGGACCTTTTCATGAGAGCTGCTTGGAGTCTTCAGCAGCTCTCATGTTGGGCATGTTGGTTGAGTTGGCCTCGGGGTTCAATCGTGGCTAGTTGGGAGAAACTAAAGTTTGGCATGGCCAAATTTCAAATGTTGCCAAACATCAAAGGTGGTATTTGTGCCATGTCCACCAGCACTTTGATCACTTAGCAATGTTGCATAACGTCTCGCAATGTAATCTATTATATACCTGTTTGCACTGTTGCTGTTTTTCTTGCTATGCATTGCCTACAAAACTATGTCATTGGTGTCACTGGTAGATGAGTCCCCCTTCAACTTAAGCACCTGCAGTTGATCAGACCGACAGACAGTGCCATTTTATCAGTAACACATCATCGCTCGGCAAGAAGTTCCATGAGATTCCTCTTCCAAGTCAAGTGATCGTTTGTGTTGATAGGACTTGGCAATCAGGCGCAAACACGTCCAGCTCCTTGCCATCCAGCCTCTCTGGCCCAAGCGATTGCTTCTTCAGACAGCGCTGCCCCAGCCCGCACTCAGCTGTCCGCCGGAAGCATGGGAAAGAAGATGCACTTGTTCCTAATAGCTTCTTGTGTAGTAAGGCCCTTGTTACTACTAGTAAGGCACTTGTTACTAGAAGCTTCTTGTTACTAAGGAAGCATGGCGGATGCGAAGATTTCTGAAATCGAGAAGCATTTCGCCAAGACCGGCCGTGGTGGCACCCCCGTGCCCTCTTGGACCCAACGACAAGGAGATTGGGTCACTCAAGCGGCGTTTTTGTGTGTTTTTTTTCTCCCTGGTCCCGGCCATTTGGGGGGGTTGGTCACTGTAAGGTGTTTTCTTGTGAGAATCATGTCAAAGGTTTTTTTTTGGACAGTAGATGGTTGACTTTTGGAAGTCTGCTGTGGGAGAGGATGCAAGAGAAAATCATGGTGTCATTACACCATTGCACTCTCCAAACTAAGAACGCTACACTTTTGACATTTCGACTAGAAGACCTTGTTCACGTGGCGGCCTGGTCAGAAGCCGCTGTCTGCCCGAGCATGCCTCCCAATCGTGGAAGCTGAGTCAAGAAACCCAGGCATTCCCAGCGAGCTCAGGCAACTCATTGACTCGGTTTTTTTGATCAATGAGTTGCCTGAGCAACTCATTCCCAGCGAGCTCAGGCATTCCCAAAGGATCTCCCAGTGTCGGGCCGTTTCGGCCACACCCTTCGCTACATCTCCCAGGTCATCGTCAGCGAGGCACACGGATCTGGCAACGCGGCTGTGAGGGTGCTCGGCGGTTCCGGGCGGTTCGTGTCTAAAAGGGAGATTTTCATGGGAACATGTGGGATCTTCTAGCTATGCAAACATGTTTGCTTTTTCATCCATTATTTATCTAGTCTGTTCCAACTTAATCCCTAACCCGGATTGTGGAGTACCGGTTTACGGCTTACTACTACTGAACAACGAGAAGTATATACATGATGTTGGCATCAATTTGTGCATCACCTGGTGGGCTATTCTGATCACTTTTTGGAGATCGCGCTTCCGGTGGCATGCTGCCACTGGCCAGTCTTGGACGAACGCGCCGCGCCCCAACTGGTGACCGCGGCGCCCAAACTCGCCGTGGTTTTGAGGTCCTTCTTGTTCTCCAACTTCCGGGGCACACAGCCTGCGGTTCCGGCAGCCACTGCAGGCGAAGATGATCACTACAACTATGGCCTGTTCCACATCCCCAGCTTCACCGAGTCCTCGCGCGCCTTGGTCTTCGCCGCCTTCACGGATCTCAGTCATGTGGGTGTCAAAGGGAATGGATCCAAGCTGCGCTTTGGCGAGGAGGGAAAGCTGCTGAAGGTGGGCCCGGGCGGCCGAGCACGGTGAAGGTTTTCAGAAGACAGCGGCGGCAACGAGAGAAGAACAACAGCTGCTTGCGGTCCTTGAGAAAATCATAACACATCCAATCATACGAGGTGGTGATGTGCCAACCCCCTCACCAGATCATGTATGGAATGGACTTCAGTGTTTTGAAAACCATGTCGCAGCAGAGATTTCATGTTTGTTCCACGTGGCAGAGCTGTTCTGATTCTGTGTACACAGTCGCATTGCAAAAGCAGCTGTCCGGGAACACACTGCGAACGCCCTTCAGATCCACCTCCTTCTCCCCAGACCGTCGCCCACTGGAAAACCATCGCTCCAGTCAGCGCATAGAGGAACAGTTCATGTTGAACCCTAAGAATCCTTGGGCTCTCCATGGCAGGGGCCGGTTGAGGGCCCGGATTTCCTTGGGAACATCATATTGTGTGGTGCAAAGCACCAACATGCACCAACTGTTGCCTAGTCTTTTGCAATCTTTTGCCTCTCGGCTCCTGCGGCGAAAGCACCGCATCTCGGAAGGGTGAGGGGAATGATGGCGCTGCCGCTTGGCGTCGCATCGGAGGCGTTACGCACCAACTGAAACATTTTGTGGGCAGGAGCTGGGGTAGTCTAAGTGTTAGTCTAACCGTTTGTTTGTGGGCAAGTCTAACTGTTAGTCTAACTGATGGCTTTCATTTGTGAAGCACGATTTGGATCCCAAAAGGGCGTTGGGGTGTAGAAACGCGTGATCTCAAAAGAACGCAAGTCTGTTCTGTTGCAGCTGCTGCAACAAATCCTTTTTCTCCAGCGGCTGTTTGTTCGACTTGCTGTGCCAGAAGAGAGATCTCTATGACTTTGCGACCTGCTTCTCCACCATCCCGCGAACTGTGTGCCAAAGATAGTCTCGAAAGTCATTGGGACTCAACCAATTATTATATAATAGAAAGCAACATGGAGCGTCATGTAGACTTCCTACTCCAGAGCCACAATTGGTCCCCACAATTAGTCCGCGAGGGACCAATTCAGCTGATTGTGTCCATTCATTTGTGCCTCTAGGACGGATAAACGTGCTAGTCAAAGTGAATGTTATTAACTCCACCACACCCCACCCAATACTCCTGGCTACTACGTCCTGCCCTTAATAGATACCGGGTTCTTCAAAAAAAACAGCCATCAAGTCAGGGATGAAAAGAATTCTTGAACCCCCCGTATCCCCCCAAGCTCAATGTTGCTGATTGGTCTCCTGACATGTACAGACCTGAATGGATGTGTTTTTTTTCCTGAAGGCCGCTGATATCAAACCTGACCCGACAACATTG